TTTAATAACAAGGACAGCTTGTTCCAGTTTAATGATCCTAGTAATTTAAAAACAAGTGGGACATAAAAAATAAAAAGAAAGTGACACATTGCTTCGCTTTCAAAGACAGTGTGAAAGAAACAAGTGTGATATTACTTATAAAAAAGCAGTTGAAGATTCATGTGATATTCACTCAAAGAAAAAAAAGATGAAGTGGGATTTAGGAGGAAGAACAGAAAGTGCCAAGGAAAATGCAAGGGAAAAAAACAAGAGAAATGAGAGTCAATTGTTATGGTCTTGGTGCCACTTTCATGGTGGGTGCCAGTGGAAAAAGCATCTTCATGCAGCTATTTTGTGCAAGTGGAGGCCAATTCGTGAGATTCTGTAGACTTAAAGTACAAAAATCTTTATAGGACATAAACTGAGGGTCAATCAATCAATTTTTTTCATTGTGATTGCTGATCCAACCCATATTGATGCATTCCAATAGAACTCGTTTCCCAGCTTCTTCTTATAATAATGTTGTACCTACCCCTCCCAATCCCCAAATACCATCATCCATCAAATATACGCAAATTTCTTTCATAAGGTTCTTTCCAACTTCAGCAATTAATTTTGAAATGAAATATCTATACTACAAAGGAAACATAACCAACAGCTTTGCAGCAGAATTAAGGGTAACAGAATCTGGCCAACAATCAAATCCAGAGCATTTAGTTTTCGATGATTAATACAGAGAGAAAGTCATGGCATGTTTTTGTAACAGACATGAAACAAAGTACATAGCCAAAGATATTACACTAGCAAGCAGAGGTAATTCTGAAGTTGAAAATGATTTAAGCGAATTGAGAGAAACTCTGGTGTTTCAGCAGAGGAGTGAAATTTACTATTCTACTTCAATCTTAGAGTGAGCAATTGCCATTTCTAATCCTCGAGTAGGTAATGAATCTAGGAAAAGATAAGATAAAAAAAAAAAAAACATGAATTAGAATTATATATAATAACAATATAAAGCAAAAAAGAAAACATTAATCCTCAAGTTTGTTTTTGAAGAAATTATTTCTAGCTTAATGCATAATTCTTCAAAATCATGGTGAAAATCAAGATAACCTTTCATCTTTTTTTCAAAATGTGCTTTACTTGTTTATATGAATTTCAACAAAGAATTATCTGTAAAGATTTTGAATTTCAACAAAGCATTTTAAGGAATTACCGTAGAGAACTTGAATAAAACTTTTTGTGAAAAAAGAATTAGTCTTTTCAAGATGATTCAGAACAGAATTCAATCCAAATATGAGCAATTGAAGAATTTGACCAAAATTCCCACAAACCTTGTAAACATCAATGAGAAGGCAGAAACATATCAGACTTGAAAAGAACATGCATCAAGAGAGTTCCAAACATCAAAATGTGTGAGCTGTTGCTGTTGCTACTGCTGCGAGATAATCATAACAAATAATCCTCGGTGTGCTAGAATGGCCTCTAAGAAAACTGGAAAGGTCAAGCATGAGATTAACATATAAGAGAGTGAAAGTAGAAAGAAAGAAAGAAAGTGTCAGAAATAAACTACCGCTATGATCAGGCATTTGATCAAAGAAACATTGACTGCTACAGTAGTCAGGCATATCTACGAACGGGCAACCACCAGTCGCTCTTGTTAAAGTAGGGCTCCAACAGAGACTTGGCATGTGGATGGTCCCACTCCACCGATTCCCACCACTCTGGATTTGCTTGAATTCTTGTAAGAGAGGAAGGAGGAGATGGTTGGCCATCATCTTGCAAGGGAAGATTCAGAGGTATCCTCTTTAATTTTGGACAATCACGTATAAAAATCTCCACAATAGAATCACAAACCACTACTCCATTTGCACCACAAATGCTCTTCAATTTTGGTAGATCCCACAATTCCAATTTCTTTAATCTTGGAAGTGTAAGTTTGATGGCAACTCCATTTCCTGCTCCCTCCACTTCTGATTCTGATGCTATTATTTCTTCCATATCCCAACATTCACCAGCCCGTAAAGTATTCAAATTTTGGAGGTTGTGCAGCACCCAATTGGACGAGAACAACTTCTTTATATTTCCACAACCACGTATATCAATCCAAGAAAGAGAGGAAAATTTGTTTTGTGGCACTGGGATAAACCATGAGAATAATGACTCTTCTTCACACAAATCCACAGAGTATTCCCTAATATTCAAAACCTCAACATCAGATAGGATCTTAATACCAATTGCACAGATCATGTCACAACCACGTAATCCGATAGCCTTTTTCGAACCCCCGTGAAAGTCATCCCATTCATATTGATGACCCACATAAATGATGTATTGACGAGGCCATCTTTCTCGAGCATGCAAACCTTGGGCACAACTGTTCCATTCATTCAAGTCCGAAAAACACCCTTCAAAAAATTCCAACTCCCTCAATCCACCTATTTCCTCCCCTCTCACGAATATTTTATGACGATAATAAGCTCCAAGTGCCGCTAAGTGCTGAAGGGATGTCAAGTTTACCAATATTCCATCGGCCATCTCTGTTATTTGCGTGTAATTCAAATCAAGATATTTGAGATTTACCAACCTTTCCATCCCATGAGGTATATCCTTGATACTTGTGCAGCTAAGGTCTAACTTTTTTAAAGCTTGAAGTTTTGAAAAAGATGGCACCTTCCCTAATTGTTCACACCAACGAAGCAATAATGTAGTGAGTGTTTCCAAATTAGAGATGGAATTTGGTAAACTCTTAATAGGATTACAAGAAAGATCAAGAATCTTGAGTCCATGCATTTGCTCAAAGAAACACTCTGGAATACTCTCTATATGGCATCTGAACAACAATAATGTTGTGAGCTTTTGGCATTTTGGGGGTGGCATTTGGGATGGAATTTGTAATTGCCAATTCATCATAAATGAAGCCTTCTCCAAATCTTCATTCCAATCTCGCACATCAGGTATCCTTTTCAGTTGCATGCCAGCTCTCACCAAGAATCGTGGTCTTACACTTGTGATGCGTAATGCCATGTCCCTTAAAACGTCATGCAGCCTCACTCGACCTTCACCTGTATAACCATTTTCTATCAAACAACTGCTTTTGAGTTCATCCAGTATGGTACGCCCCTTGTCAATCTCTTGTTGCATGCTATCCATTTCTTTTACATGCCCTTCCGCAATCCAAAGATGGATAAGCTCATCTGTCTCTATTTCCCAATCTTCAGGAAATAAGGCACAGCAGAGGAAGCAATTTTTCAGCTCTTCAACCCGTAAACGATCATAGCTGAACTGAAGTTGTTGAAATACCTTCTCTTCCATCTTTTTCACAGTTTCTCCATTTCTTTTTAATTCATGGAGTGCATCCCTCCACGCATGAACAGCACGTACACCCCTCATACTGCTCGCTATTGTAACAATAGCCAAGGGCAAACCATCACATTCTTTAGCAACTAATTCCATAATGGGTAATAGAATTGGATAATTCGAAACATCTTCACCTACTTTGTTCAAGAACAAGCTCCATGCATCTGGATTTGAAAGAGTAGGCACTCTAACTTCTCGACAATGCAAATAGTGGCACACATCTAACAACCGAGTTGTTACCAATAATTTACTCCCATTAGAAGGCTCAGGGATGCCTACTTCTTCAAGAGAAAGTTTCTCCCACAAATCATCTAGGATTAACACATACTTGCCCTTACAAGCCAACATTTCATATATCATCCCTGCTCTTATTGTTTCATCTTCATCTTCATCAAGGGATACTTTCATTGCTCGTGCAATCCTATTTTGCAGTTTAATGATGTTCATCTCCTTTGATACAGTGATCCATATCACAATGTCAAACCTTTCAGTCTCTTTCAGTAACTGGTTGTGTACGAGCTTCATGATGGTTGTTTTCCCTATTCCTCCCATTCCCCAAACTCCAATCTTTTGAATGTCATCATCCAGCAAGTAGGCCCAAATTCTTCCATACAAGTCTTTGCGGCACCACCGAATAAAGTTGTGGTTGATAGAGCTTGTCCAATCCACCCAGGGTTGTCAAGTACCAAACTGTTGTGAAACTTACCCCGTTGATAAAGTTCATCAACTTCTTGTATCTTCTTCAAAACATTTGCTTTGAGGAATCCACGTAAGGCAAAACTATTTTCTCCAATTTTTTGTTCAAGGTCTTGGATTTCGCCATTTATTCTTTCAACGTTTTCGAGCCATAACTCAACTTCTTTCTTTAGTTTCTTTCTCGGATGCAGCTCTGCGGTCGTTGACTTCGTGTCTCCTTTTAGAGCATTTAGTTCCGCCTGTTTTCTCTTTAGGTCTTTCATTTTCTCATGAAGGTTTGTTGGAGTGTCCCACGATTCACCAAATTTAGTAAGGAGAAAATCCATGGCTGTAAAGTCCCTACATACATAAAAACAAATATGTATATCGTAAACCATTTGATGGACTTTATAACCATAACCATGTAAATATATAGATGCAGTAAATTTCTGAGGAGCATATTTTAATTACATTCTGGTCTTGCCTATTTCTTCTTCCTTTCAAAGGTAATAATGATTTCTTTAACTTATATCACTAAAACACAGTTCTCAAGAATTAAAAAGTTAGAACCTTGGCCTTGAAATTCAGCAAGCTCTTAATTACTGTTATCAATTGTCAAGGCTTTTACTATCACCATTACCAAAACCTAAAGCCGAAGTGATTAATTTCAACACATTTTCTAAGATTTTTTTTTAATCTGATTGCATGATCATAACACTCATGTTTCTAACGAATCACAAAATTTAACGAAGTTAAAATGAAAATCATCAAACAAAGAATTCTAAAAAGCCAATAATAGTAGTGAAAGAGGAAAAGGAATAACATTATGAAACAGAAAAAGGGAAAACAAAGTCATGACAAGCATGAAAAGAAACAGAATACTGAAATTAAATTTCCTACCTTGAGCAACTAGACTGCGTGCTGCTTCTGCAAGACCTTGAATTAAAAAGACAAAAGCAAGCAGTGAGGAAAAGAGTAGAACCCCGGTAGAAGAAGTATATTGAGAAAAGAAACAGTGAATCAACTCCTGGAAGAAGGCTATGTAAATCTGTGTTAGCAACTTGATTGATATTCACCGAAGGAAAGAAATTAATGTGGGATTTAAGAAGAAAAAGCAAAATGCGAGGAAACAACCGGGGAAATGAACCATAATTATGAGTTAATTATTATAGTCTTGGCTTTGGAGCTACTTGGGTGGTACGTGGCACAAGGGATGATTAAAGCAAATTATGAGTCAATTGTAATACTTAAAAAACATTAAAACTTTTTATTTTTTAATTCAAAAATAAATAAGATATTTCTAATTAAAACAATAATTGAAATTTAATAATTTTAAATTATCTATAAAAACAAATAACTAAGGCATTGCTTGAAGCATCGTCGTTCAACGCTTGAGGTCATAAAGAGCCACGTGACCTTACTTTCACATAAGGCAATAACATATGGCTCATAGAGAAAAGGTTGTGAAGCTATTCCTCACTTGATAAAATAAGAAACCTACTTTTTTAATGAAAAATATGGATATACAATCATGAAAACACATGCATGAACCATTATAAAAAAGATACTTGAAAAATTCATGAGTCCTTAAGTCATTTTCAACTTATGATATGTATATATATAGCAAATGTCCCTTACCCTTATCTCTTGTTTTTGTCACTGTATATGCATGTGAACATGCTAAACTCACCCTAAATATGAAGAAAATAATGAAATATGCTGAAATATCCTACATCAAGTAAACATAGTCATACAAAATCAAAATAATTTAAGAACTAAATAATTAAATTGTAAATTTTATATATTAAGTCAAATAAAATAATTTAAAGTTTTACATATATAAACTTATTGATTTCAATCTAAAAGATTTGAATTCAAATTAATTTTAAATTAAATTGATTCGATTTAAAATTATTTAACTTTAAAATGATTATAATTTTTCTTTGACTTGAATTCAAAATAATTTGATTTTTTCTTGATAAAAATGATTTAACTTGAAAATGAATTAATTTAAATTTAATCTGATTTGTTAATTTGATGCATCTAGTTACACCATCTTAATTATCAATTACTATAATTTATTTTTTTAAAATTTACTATTCCCTCTATCTTATTTGGTTTGTCCACCTTTATTTTTTAGGATATCCTGTTCAATTGCATGCCAGCTCTCACCAAGAATCGTGGTCTTACACTTGTGATGCGTAATGCCATGTCCCTTAAAACATCATGCAGCTCCACTCGACCTCCACCTTTATAACTATTTTCTATCAAACAACTGCTTTTGAGTTCATCCAGTATGGTACGCCCCTTGTCAATCTCTTGTTACATGCTATCCATTTCTTTTATATGCCCTTCCGCAATACAAAGATGGATAAGCTCATCTGTCTCTATTTCCCAATCTTCAGGAAGTAAGGCACAGCAGAGGAAGCAATTTTTCAGCTCTTCATCCCGTAAACGATCATAGCTGAACTGAAGTTTTTGGAATACCTTCTCTTCCATCTTTTTCACAGTTTCTCCATTTCTTTTTAATTCATGAAGTGCATCCCTCCACGCATGAACATCACGTACACCACTCATACTGCTTGCTATTGTAACAATAGCCAAGGGCAAACCATCACATTCTGTAGCAACTGATTCCATAATGGGTAATAGATTTGGATGATTCGAAACATCTTCACCTACTTTTTTCAAGAACAAGCTCCATGCATCTGGATTTGAAAGAGTAGGCACTCTAACTTCTCGACAATCCAAATACTGGCACACATCTAATAACCGAGTTGTTACCAATAATTTACTCCCATTAGAAGGCTCAGGGATGCCTACTTCTTCAAGAGAAAGTTTGTCCCACAAATCATCTAGGATTAACACATACTTGCCTTTACGAACCAACATTTCGTATATCATCCCTGGTCGTATTGTTTCATCTTCATCTTCATCAAGGGATACTTTCATTGCACGTGCAATCCTATTTTGCAGTTTAATGATATTCATCTCCTTTGATACAGTGATCCATATCACAATGTCAAACCTTTCAGTCTCTTTCAGTAGCTGGTTGTGTACGAGCTTCACGATGGTTGTTTTCCCTATTCCTTCCGTCCCCCAAACTCCAATCTTTTGAATGTCATCATCCATCAAGAAGGCCCAAATTTTTTCCATACAAGTCTTTGCAGCATCACCGAATAAAGTTGTGGTTGATAGAGCTTGTCCAATCCACCCAGGGTTGTCAACTACCAAACTGTTGTGAAACTTACCCCGTTGATAAAGTTCATCAACTTCTTGTATCTTCTTCAAAACATTTCCTTTGAGGAATCCACGTGAGGCAAAACTATTTTCTCCAATTTTTTGTTCAAGGTCTTCGATTTCGCCATTTATTCTTTCAACGTTCTCGAGCCATAACTCAACTTCTTTCTTTAGTTTCTTTCTCGGATGCAGCTCTGCTGTCGTTCTTGACTTCGTGTCTCCTTTTAGAGCATTTAGTTCCGCCTGTTTTCTCTTTAGGTCTTTCATTTTCTCATCAAGGTTTGTTGGAGTGTCCCACGATTCATCAAATTTAGTAAGGAAAAAATCCATGGCTGTAAAGTCCATATAAAAACAAATATGTATATCATAAACCATTTTGATGGACTTTATAACCATAACCATGTAAATATATAGATGCAGTAAATTTCTGAGGAGCATATTTTAATTACATTCTGGTCCTGATCTTCCTTTCAAAGGCAATAATATTTCTTTAACTTATATCACCAAAGCACAGTTCTCAAGAATTAAAAAGTTAGAACCTTGGTCTTGAAATTCAGTAAGCTGTTCATTACTGTTTTCAATTTGAAGGCTTTTAATATTACCATTACCAAAACCTAAAGCCAAAGTGATTAATTTCAACACATTTTCTAAGATATTTTTTTAATCTGATTGCATGATCATAACACTCATGTTTGTAACGAATCACAAAATTAACAAATTTAAAATGAAAATCATTAAAATAAAGAATTGCAAAAAGCCAATTTTAGTAGTGAAAGAGGAAAAGGAATAACATTATGAAACAGAAAAAGAGAAAACAAAGTCATGACAAGCATGAAAAGAAACAGAATACCGAAATTAAATTTCCTACCTTGAGCAACTAGACTGCCTGATGCTTCTGCAAGACCTTGAATTGAAAAGAACAAAAACAAGCAGTGAAGAAAAGAGAAGAACCCCGGTAGAAGCAGTGTATTGAGCAAAGAAACAGCGAATCAATTCCTGGTAGAAGGCTGTGTAAATCTGTGTTAGCAACTTGATTGATATTCATTCAAGGAAACAAGATGAGGGTGGGATTTCGGAAGAAGAAAAGAAAGTGCCTAGGAAAGTGCAATGAGAAAACAAGAGTGCAAATGAACCAAAATTATGAGTCAAATTGTTATGGTCTTGGTGCCACTTTCACGTGGGTGCCATGGGGAATGACTAAAGCAAATTATGAGTCACTTGTCATGATCATGGTGCCACTGTCATGGTGGGTGCCATAGTGCATGATTAAAGCAAAATTATCCTTCGTTTATATTTATGGCGTGGCATTTTGTTTTAACACGACAGATCATCCACGACCAATGATAAAACAGAACAACTATTAATAGGTTTTCTGCTGTAAAAGTGCAATACTTCGGCCTAAATGATAGTTGTATTAGATTATTATTAAATTTTATTAATTTATTAAAAAATTAATTACTAAAAAAAGTAATATATGCATTTTAAGAAAAAATTTAATTATCGTAAAATAAAAAAATTCTTCTTCTTTATTTTACTTAACATTGTAGGCATTCATTTTGGTTCGAATTCAATTGAGTCTATTTTGGTCTAGGTTCAATTGGATCCATTTTAATCTGAACCCCATTGAATCCATTCTAGCCCGTGCTTAATTAGATCCATCTTGGTTTGGGCTCGGCTAAATCTATTTTCAAAATTGAGCCTGACCAGGCCCATTTTTGGTAAGCCTGTGTGGGTTGGGCCCATCAAGACCCATATTAGTCCAAAAGGATGTGTTTTATTATTATTATTATTATTATTATTATTATTATTATTATTATTATTAGTTTTTCTTTCTTTCTTTTTTTCTTCATCAATTTCCATTTACGATTGGTCCACATGTGAATTAGAATCACAAAATTCTTGGAAGTCAACACAGAATCAAATTGGACTACTGAAATCTTAGAATTAAATCTCAGACAAAATGCAATCCTAAGAATCAAGCCTGGGATTGATTCTGTCAATTTCTTGAAATTAACCCTAAGAACACCTATAAATTGGACTAATTTTTTACAAAAAAAACACACGAAAGGGGAGGAAAAAGAGAAAGGAAAAAAAAAAACTTCAGGGAAATTTTGGGAATTTTGGCAAAAAGAAGGTCATGGGATTTGAGAATTGAGATAGGGGTTGATTTAGAGTTCTGGAGTGATTTTGGGATTCTGAAAATAATTTTAGGGTAGTAGAGGGTTCTAGAAAGGTTTAGGACGATCTATGAATTTTTTAGGAATTTTTTAGAATTTTTTTGAAATTTTTCTAGGATTTTTTAAATTTTTGAAAAACATTTGAATTTTTCGACGAAAGTTGAAGTTTCTGACCAGATTCCGATGAAATTTTCAGGATTCGACTGGTTTTCTAAAAACCGATAGGTTTTTCAATTTTTGGTTGAATTTTTTGATAACTTTTCTAGAAACCGGTGAGTTTTTTGGCTCCGTTTGAAGTTTTTGGTGGGAGATCATAGAGAGAAAGCAGAGCTTCTCATGCTAGAGAGAGAAAGAACAAAGGGGCTTCTAAGAAAAACGTTAAAAAAGATTTTATACGGCTCCAAAATGATGCCGTTTTGCTCTACCAGGATCCCCACGTCGACTCAAAGATTCGCGTGTAGACCCATGTTCCGACCCGACCCGACCTTACCTTATCGCAAGTTTTTCTTTTTCTATTTTCTTTTTATTTTTTGATTTTTATTTTATTTTATATATTTTACCTATATTTTATATTCTAATTTTATTTTCTTTTTTTTTCTCTTTTCTGTTTTTATTTATTTTTTTAAAGGAAAAAATAGATATGCATGAGAAAAAGGCATAAAATATAAAAAAAGAAAACAAAAAAGAAAAAAAGGAAAAAAGAGAAGTATAAAATTTTGGTAGACAATAATAATTCAAGGCTTAGATAATTCGAAATCAAAACTGGTGCCATCCTTGGATGAGCGTTATGGGGGTACTACAACATTCTCCAAGTGTAATCGACTTCTGAATCTAACCTCTGTTTTGCAAGCTAGTTTTAATCAGGTGAACAATCACACCTAACAAAAAAGGTTGGTGGTGACTCCCTTTCATTCCAAGTCTAGCGGTGGGTCCAGAATCTATTAGTTATGACAGTTTGGTGACTTCGCTAGGGACTATTGAGAGTCAAGCTGATAAAATATTTCTTATTGTCCAAGCCTTGTCTAATAATTCAAAATTGCCTTTTGTCATTACTTATATTTGTCTGCCCTATTCTTTAATACATATATTTTGCCTAAATATATGTTCTTATATTTGTCATTCACTTGCATATGCACAACATAAGCCCTCTACCAGGGCCCAACCTTTAGGAGGGAGTGAAATACCTATGCCCTTATGAGATTTTATGTCTCCACATGGGCTTGCGAAACACTCTCGCTTAGATTGAATCCTTTCCGCTTGAAGCCTGTGATGGGTGAGGATTGGGATGCTTTAGTAGTCTATAATGGACCATGATATGGGGAACAATTTGAGAACCTTTTTAGAAATGGCCTAAATCACATGTAGTCGACTTTAAAAACCCAACTATAGATAAAGCCTTATTTTCCCCTCCCTCTATAGATGATCCAAATTTTAGATCATGTTATCTTCTTAACTACTATGTTTTCCTTGTGTTTCTTTATGACTAACCCCTTTTGTCTTCTCTTGTTTCATTTTGCATCAATTCATAAACATGTTCACAAATTGCATAGTATTCTTGTCCTAAAATTATTCCAGCAAAAGTTTTCATGGCAGGTTTGTGCCTCATCTATGCTGTTCAAATGTGATTCTCCCCTAGAGGTGAAGATCGAATCAAAAAAAAGAAAATTAGAAGAAGGGAATTGTTTGCCACCTAACCATGTTTCCACGCTATCAGAAGAAGTCCATTTACTCCTCAAGCACAATAGTTTGAAAGACTTATTAGACATATGGAGCAGAATGACCCTTTTGAAGTAAGAGATATTTCGTGGAAAGTTTAGACATATAGCTTAACTCTTGTCAGTAGAAGTTGACTATTCGCTAATCAGGGCAATGATACAATTTTGGGACCCCTTCTACTAGTGTTTTATCTTTAATGAGATTGATTTAGTGCCAACCATTGAGGAATATTCATCTTTGATGAGTGTGCATCTATTGCATCCAGATAAAATATATATGAAAAAGTACAAATCAGGGAGCCACAGAAAGTTGAGTAAGATGTTAGGGGTAGGAAAGGAGACCATAGATTCCTACATTCAGGAGAAAGGCAATCATAAAGGAATTTCATAGGAGATACTTTGAGATTTCATTGTCAAGCATCTGGATGATTATTAGGGGATGAATGCATTTGCTTTGGCCATATATGGATTAGTCATCTTTCCCAAGGTCTTAGGGCACATTGAAAATAGAAGTGGTGGACTTATTTGAGTAAATTGAAGGAGGTTGTAACCCTTCACCGGTTATCTTAGCAGAAACTATCAGATCTTTGAGTTTTTGTAGGTAGATGGATAAAGCACGCTAATAGGTTGCATACCTTTATTGTATGTATGGATAAAAAGCCATTTTGAATGTAAGAAAAGTGGCTTCACCAAACTTTATCCACACTCGAGAAATCCGATTAGAGAATTTTTGCCAAAGCACTTTGACGAATGTAAAAACTCAAAAGGAATGGAAATGTCCACTACAGATACTCACGGCTAGTCAGATAAAATGGTTGGCTCCATGGATGGATAGAGAACCCATGTTATACTAATGTGAAGATGAGATAGGGGTCTTGCTTTTAGGTCTATGGGGTTAACAAGTTATACTCCCTTAATGGTAAGGAGGTAGCACGGGGCTGAACAATTTATTCTTACGACCCTCAAGGTTGGCCAGTTCGATTGCTCATATGGGGATCCTGGAACCTTCCAGAAGATCGATAGCATGGTTAAGGCTTAGAAAAAGCCCAAGAGGTAAGCCTAGGGCCATTCACTAATCGAGTAACTCAGAGGTATCTAGTTTGGAAAGTAACAGAAGTCAAGAGGTTGTATTTAGGCCTCAAGATCATACCTTACCAGTGGATCAAGAGTCTGATAAAAAGCTCTCAGAGCTAGAGCATGAGATAGAGAAAGAGAAACTAAGATAAGAGGTCTCGAAGTTGCAAGAAGAAAAGGATCAATGGCAAAACAAAGTAGACCATGAATTAAAAGAAGAATTACTTATGAAAGGCAATAATAATATATTGCAAAGAATAATCTCATCACATGATTTATTTTGACATAAAATCAAGTATGATTGTAGACAGTGTATAAAGCCTTTTGACAAATATAAAATGAAAATATTATTATTTAATATAATTTAAGTTAAATTCTGAATCATAGAAGACTATAAAATATCACATAAATATAAAAAGGTATGTAATTAAATTGAAAATTTAAAAGAAAAGAAATATAATTACTTATTTGAAATATTTTTTTATTTTAAATCAAATTAAATAAAAATTAAATACATGACACATGGCTATTTTATAAGATCATCTATATGTCAATCATATAAACTATCCACATTGAACAATTTCCTTTATTGCCAAAGGCTTTTGATTTTATATATTTATATAAGATGTGTAGTTTAAATCAATATTCTCTTAAATTTAAATAAATAAAGTTTGTCATCGACTCATTGTGGTTTACTTCATTTTCTTTGAAATAAAAGAAAAAGATATTTTTTCTCAATTTAAAATAAACAGGTCATTATCCATAAATGAATAAAAACTATGAGATAAATAAAGAAATTATGCAAAAATAGATTCAAATGAATTCATAATTTTAGTTTTACAAGGCAATCATTGTTGTCTAGGGCTTTCTTAATATGTGATTAACCTCACTTGAATATTCAAGTTAAATATTATCTGGAATAATCACACAACACGCACATGATTTTCATTATTTTTTTTCTTTTTAGCACACATTTTTTAATAAATTTCCATTTTTCAATGTTTTATCAAGATTGTAGTTAAGTTAAGGTATGTCAATAATTTTCTTTTGATTTAATTTAGTCTTCATTATTATTGTTTATTTAATTCTTTTTTTTTCTTGTCTCACATTTATAAAACATGGTCATCAAGATTACAACTTAGTAAGGGCATGTTAATAATTTTAATGATTTAATTTCTTATTCTTTTATTTTTAATTAAATTTCTTTTGACGCATATTAATCATTCTCATTTTTTAGAGTTTTAATCAAGATCATAAATTATTAAAAGTATGTCAATATATTTTTTATGATTTAATTTCATAAACTAGTCTTAGCCAATGAATTTTACCGCCACTAAATGTTAATAATGTATATTAGCATAACATGGGACAAAATCTAATTAATTAATTTGCATGTCTTACTACTTTCAAGATTTTCAAGGCCTATTGAATATTATTTTCATGAATGCATGAATATTGCATTCATTTTTTGGGGGTTTTGATGTTTTGTTGTTATTTGTGTTTTTTATTCTATTATTTATTTTTAGTTATTTCGTATGTTCTTTCTCAAATTTTTATTTTATTTATATTAAATAAATATATAAAAATCAAAATTTTTGACAAAAAAAATGTAGTAGTCATTATATCGAGATTTTGTTCTTTTTTATTAATTTCATCTCTTTTTGGCTCGATAACATTGTTTATCATATATTTTGAAATTTGTCAGGTTTTTAAAAGCTTTAATTTCTTTATCACTTGATATCTTTAATATATGTATATATATTACATATACACTGATAATAATAGTAATTTATTAATATTAATTTATGTATCCACATGTATACTTAAATAGATAAATCTAGTCGATATAAATAATATCAAATTTGTAAAATATAATTGATCTTATTTTTTGTATGAGACTCAAATTAAAGTCAAGAGTTAAAGTTTGTAAACACAGAAAATATCCAATTATTTAAAGATATTTAACACTTTTTGTAAGTAAAAGTTAAATTGATTCTGAAAATTGAATTATCAAATATATTGGAAAACTTTAATCATTGAAAATTAAATTAAAGACACCTAAGTGAAAGATGAAAAAGAATAGCATATATCAAACAAAGAAGAGAAAACAAACCATAATAAGAATGAAATAAAAGAAAACAATTTCTCCCAATTTATGAGCATAAAAAGAAACAGAGTACCAGAAATAAAAAAGCCAATATCAGTAGTGAAAGAAGTAAAGGTATAGCGTTAATGAAACGGAAAAGAAAAACTAAAATCATGAAAAGCATGAAAAAGAAATAGAGTACCGTAATTAAATTACCTTATAGCCACCTTTAGTTGAGCTCCTAGGTAGGCTGTTGCTTCTGCAAGAGCTTGAATAGAAATAAACCACATTTATGAGTCTAGCTGTGGTGTCACTTTCATGATGGGTTCCACAGGTTTGATTACAAATAGCCGTCAACGTTGATTTTTTTGGCTTAATAGTTTGTTTCACACGACAAGAGGTAGAATTCACTACCAATGACAAAATAGAACAGCAAACTTTCATAGGCTTCTAGCTGTAAACAACAAAATACTAATCCGTCATTTGCTGTCAGTTAACCAATCATCAATTGCCTCGCCATATGAAACAAATTTGTTCGTACGTATTGAAAATATTGTCACAGATCTTTTTCTTTATTCCTTTTTTCATTTTTTTAATATAATTAATTTTACAAAATATCAAACTTTTGAGCTCAATTTTCCAATTCTAGTCTTTTAGTGGAAAAAAACAAATAGAAAACAAAAAATAATTTCCAAACCATCCCTTCGGAAGATTAGTTCACATCGATTGATAGTCGCTTTTATTTATAAAAATTCATATTTAATTTAAAAAATATTATTTATTTTAATTTAAAAATTTTATAATTTTATCTCACAAAAATATTTTATAAATTTAAATTTAAATTTTTACATATATATTATATTATATTCATATATTTTTTCAATATAAAATTTAAGGCGTTACAAATTCATCATAAACACTAGTACTATTTCCAACTTCAAAAACTGGGCCTACTTGTTCAGTTAAGTCCCTGCATAAAAGATGGTATTGCTCGGATTAAACATGATTTCTAATTCTAAGCTCCATGTTGTTGACGCTTTTGGAACACATACTTCATTTTCTTATTACTACTTGTCAAAAATATATTTTCATCGTGTAATAGTCAACATTCGTAAGAGAGATTTCCACATTCGTGATATTTTTTAAGGTTGCATCCATTTTAACACAATGAAGAATCTGAGTTTGGATAGTGATATAGAGGTATGCCTAGTTTCTTGATAAAAAATATAGACTCCTGGAAATTTTTTGAAATTTACACATAAATTTTCAGCTATAACTGATTGTAACAACAATTTTAAAAGTAGAAATAGACTTTAAATTAAGAACCCCTTTTAATAAATTTCCAGCAATTTCAGTTCAAATCGCATATTACATTGGTTTTTCAGTTCGTAATCCTGCCTCATGGCAATTGCAGGATCAAAATATTCATGCATTTTGAGCTTTAAGATACTAAAAAACTAAAGCATCTAAATAATAAGTTTGCTGATCCAGATTAATGCATTTCAATAGAACTCTTTTTCCCAACTTGTCCTTTAACTAATGTTACACTTACTGCTAGAAACCTTCTCTAGATTTTTTTTTTTTTTTGCTGCTCGTAACTCTTTCAACTCCATAACCATCGTTTTACTCACTCCTCCCCTAACTCCAATCCTCCAAGTATGCCCAAATTTTGTTCATAATGTTCTTTGCAACTTCACCAATTAATTTTGAAATTAAGCATCTTTACTTCAAAAAAATATGTTTGAGCAAAGGAAATACAATCAACAACTTTGCAGCAGAACTAAGGGTAAAAAGAATCTGGCTGACAATCAAATAGAGAGCATTTAGTTTTCGAAGATTAATACCGAGAAATTCTTGATATGTTTTTGTAACAGACATCAAACAAAGTACATAGCCAATAAATATTACACTAGAAAACAGAAGTAATTCTAAAGTTGGTGAAGATGATTTGAGCGAATTGAGAGGAACACTGGTGTTCACCAGAGGAGTGAAATTTACTATTCTACTTTACTTCATTCCAGAGTGAGCATTTGCCATTTCTAATCCTGGAGCAGGTTATGTACCTAAGAAAAGATAATAACACAAAAAACATTAATTAGAATTATATATAATGACAGTATAAAGCAAGAAAAAGAAAACATTAACCCTCGAGTTTGTTTTTGAAGAAATTATACCTAGCTTAATGCATAGTTCTTCAAAATCACGATGAAAATCAAGACAACCTTTCATCTTTATTTGCAGAGTGTGCTTTACTTGTTTATATGAATTTCAATAAAGCATTATATATCTGTAAAGATTTTGAATTTGAACAAAGCATTTTAAGGAATTGCCATAAATAACTTGATGAAAACTTTTGTGAAAAAAGAATTAGTTTTATCAAGATGATTCAGAAAAGAATCAATCCAAATATGAGCAATTGAAGAATTTGACCTAAATTTATTCATCCTTACCTAAATTCTCACGAATCTTATAAACATCAACAAGAAGGGCAGAAACATATTAGACTTGAAAAGAACATGCACCAAGAGAGTTATAAACATCAAAGTGTGTGAGCTGTTGCTATTGCTGCTGCTGCCATATAATCAAAAAAAATAATCCTTGGTGTGCTGAAAGATCTCAAAGAAAACTGGAAAGGTCAAGCATGAGATTAACATATAAGAAAGTGAAAATAGAAAAGGATAAAGAAAAAAAAAAGAATGAAAAGGAAATGTTAGAAATAAGCTACCATTGTGGTCGGGCATTTGATCAAAGAAAAAAGTGACCGCTGTAGTGGTCAAGCATTTCAACGAACATGCAACTACATGTCAAATGTAGGGATCCAACAAAGACTCGGCATTTGGATGGTGTCACTCCACCGATTCCCAACACTCCTTTGGGTGTGCTTCAATGAATTGTAAGAAAGGAAATAGAAATGGTTGGCATCAGTCTAGCAAGGAAGATGTTGCAGAGGTATCCTCTTAAATTTGATGACAATCACGTGTTAAACAATCCCTCAATAAGAATCACATAAACGCAATACTCAGTTTGCACCAAAATGTCTTCCATTTTGGTAGATCCAACAATTCCCATTTCTTTAATCTTGGAAAGATTAAGCATGATAGCAACTCCATTCCTTCTCCTCTCAACTCTGAGAAAGTTCTGAAACTCTTTCGTTAGATTCTTTATTTCTTCCATATGATCGCAACAACGCCTACAAACACGTAAAGTATTCAAATTTTGGAAAAAAAAAGCACCCAATTTGACAAAACAACTTCTTTCATTTTGCTACACCAGGTAATTTATGCACAATTCGAGAAATTCATGAAAATATTATTATCAATGGCGCACTGATAGCAACCACGAGTAAAGAATGACTCTTCTTCACACAAATCACGGATGCATTCCACAATAGTCAAAACCTCAACATCAGATAGGATCTTAATACCATTTGTACAGATCATGTCACAACCTTTTAATTCAATGTATTTTTTCGAATTATTGTCTAAATCATCCCACATTAATCGATCACCCACTAAAATGAAGTATTGACGAGGCCATCTTTCTCGAGCATGCAAAGCTTGGGCATAACTGTTCCACTCATTCCAGTCAAACAAACACCCTTCAAAGATTTCCAACTTCCTCATTAATCCACTTATTTCCTCTTCGCTCACGAATAATTTATAATCAAATCCAAGTATTGATAAGTGCTGAAGGGATGTGAAGTTTGCCAACATTCCATCGGCCATCTCTGTTATTTTCGTGTAACTCAAATCAAGATATTTGAGATTTACCAACCTTTCCATCTCATGAGGTATATCCTTGATTTTTGTTCCTCTAAGGTCTAACTTCCTTAAAGCTTGAAGTTTTGAAAAAGATGGCACCTTCTCTAATTGTTCACACCAACCAAGCAATAATGTAGTGAGAGTTTCCAAATTAGAGATGGAATTTGGTAAATTCTTAATAAGATTTTCAGAAAGATCAAGAACCTTAAGTCCATGCATTTGCTCAAAGAAACACTCTGGAATGCTCTCTATCTTGCATCGGCACATCAATAATGTTGTGAGCTTTTGGCATTTTGGGGAAGGCATTTGGGATGGAATTTGTAATTCCAAATTACACATCAATGAAGCTTTCTCCAAATCTTCGTTCCAATCTCGCACATCAGGTATCCTTTTCAATAGCATGCCAGCTCTCACCAAGAATCGTGGTCTTGCACTTGTGATGCGCAATGCCATGTCCCGTACAACATCATGCAGCTTCACTTGACCTTTATCTATATTACTGTTTTCTATCATACAACTTTCTATCAAACAACTGTTTTTGAGTTTATTCAGTATGGTATGCCCCTTGTCAATCTCCGTTTGTATGCTATCCATTTCTTCCACGAGCCCTTCAGCAATCCACAGATTTATAAGCTTATCTGTATTTATTTCCCAATCTTCAGGATATAATGCACAGCAGAGGAAGCAATGCTTCACTTTTTCATCTTGTAAACGATCATAGCTGAACTGAAGTTGTTGAAATACCTTCTCTTCCATCCCATTCACACTTTTCACTTGTCTGTTTAATTCAAAGAGTGCATTCCTCCACTCATGAATGTCACGTACACCCTTCATACTGCTTGCTATTGTAACAATAGCCAAAGGTAAACCGGCACATTCTTCAGCAACAGATTTCACAAGGGGTAATAGATCTTGATGATTCAAAACATCTCGACCTACTTTTTCCGTGAACAACCTCCATGCATCTGGTTTTGAAAGAGTCGGCACTTTAACTTCTCGGCAATCCAAATAGTGACACACATCTAATAACCGAGTTGTTACCAATAATTTGCTCCCATTAGAAGGCTCGGGGATGCCTACTTCTTCAAGAGAAAGTTTGTCCCACAGATCATCAAGGATTAACACATACTTGCCTTTACGAGCCAACATTTCGTATATCATCCCAGCTCTTATTGTTTCATCTTCATCTTCGTGAAGGGTTACATTCATTGCACGTGCAATCCTATTTTGTAGTTTAATGATGTTCATCTCCTTTGATACAGTGATCCAGATCACAATGTCAAAATTTTCAGTCTCTTTCAATAGCTGGTTGTGTACGAGCTTCATGATCGTTGTTTTCCCTATTCCTCCCATCCCCCAAACTCCAATCTTTTGAATGTCATCATTCATCAAGTAGGCCCAAATTTCTTCCATACAAGTTTTTGCAGCTCCACCGAATAAAGTTGTGGTTGATAGAGCTTGTCCAATCCACCCAGGGTTGTTAACTACCAAACCGTCGCGAAACCTACCCCGCTGAAAAAGTTCATCAACTTCTTGTATCTTCTTCAAAACATCTCCTTTGAGGAATCCACGTGAGACAAAACTACTTTCTCCAATTTTTTGTTCAAGGTCTTGGATTTTGCTGTTTACTGTTTCAACATTCCCGAGCCACAACTCAACTTCTTTCTTTAGTTTTTTTCTCGGATGCAGCTCTGTGCTTGTTCTTGACTCTGTGTCTCCTTTTAGAGCATTTAGTTCCACCTGTTTTCTCTTTAGGTCTTTCATTTTCTCATCAAGCTTTGTTGGAGTGTCCCACGATTTATCAAATTTAGCAAGGAGAAAATCCATGGCTGTAAAGTCCCTACATAAATAAGAACAAATATGTATATCATAAACTATGTTGATGGACTTTATAACCATAACCATGTAAATATATGGATGCAGTAAATATCTAAGAAGAATTACTTTATTAGAAAATTTTGGTTATTAAGGATGGAAATCAATATTATATATTGCTTTAACCCCTCTGGAAATGGTGTCTTTCAAAAGCTTTGCAGCCTCTACATTTTTGTCGATGAATGCTACTATCCCAAATTATAACAATTAAAACACACCTCTCAAGAGCTAAAGGTTAGTTACTTGTAAGGCTTGGGATTGTCAAATGTTATGTAATTTGCTTTATTCTTTGCCTTATTCACTTAATGAAGGAAATTGATGAGACAATCAAACTATGAAGAATTACTAATATAAGAATTACCAAACAATCGTTAGGAAGGACCTGAAAATATATAAAAAAAACCCAATTGGAGTGAGGTCAAACCTAAGTTTATTAGGTTTTATACATTTTCAATGCAATAATCTCAAACTTTTATATATACAAACTTTTATTAAACTAAACTTTCCTTAAGTTAGAAATTTTTTTTATTAAATTAAATATTGAAAGATTGAAATTTGTTGAAAAAAATGACAGAGATGATACTTAATAGGATAAAAGAGTGAAATAATTTGTTGGTTGGTTGCTTCCAACTTTCCATCTTTTGGGTGTATGTCAAATGTTTTTTTGTTGCTTGTTGACGATCCAATATGATAACATGGTGAAAAAAGAATATTTTCTTTTGGGATGAGAGGGAGAGTATATAAAAATAAAGTGAATATGGTAGAAATTTTAATTTTTTTATTTAATTTGCTTCTAAAAATTAAAAAATGATGTGGCAAAACCTTAAATATTGGTAAAAATAATAGATATCCACTAATTTCTAAGTAGTGAAAAAAATCCCCTCTTTTTCATGTTTATTTCAAATAAAAATATCAATTTTTTATTATTTTCTTATTAATCATATTGAAGTGTTATTAAAGTAAGTCCATAAGTAATTAATTTTTATTAAATTAAACATTAGCTACTTTTTATTTTTTGAAATATATAAAAAAATAACTGAATAACAAAAAATAAATTAAAACATAAAGTTGAATCAAACCCATGTATAATGAAACTTAAACCTATAACTTCAAGGTTCTAAGACCTTTCTTTGCCACTAAGTCAATTTCTCATTAGCAAACATCAGTTACTTTTAATCAGTATTTTTTGTTAACATTGAAATTAATATGAACCGAGAAAAGATAATATAGTAAAATCTTAACCATCGATGCTCTACCTTTTTCATGTTTATTATTTTAGATTAAAATATTGAGTCATTTTTATTTGTTTTCTTATTAAATTAAATTAAAAGAAAAGCAATATAATTAATTATTTGAATTTTTTATTTTAAATCAAATTAAATAAAAAATTAAATGCATGACACATGGCTATTTTTTAAGATCATCTATATGTCAATTATATAAACTATCCACATTGAACAATTTCCATTTTTGCCAAAGGCTTTGGATTTTACATATTTATATAAGATATGTAGTTTAAATCAATATCCTCTTAAAGTGAAACAAATAAAGTTTGTCTTCGAGTCATTGTGGTTTACTAACTTTTTTTCTTTTTTAAAATAAAAGAAAAGGATATTTATCTCAATTTAAAATAGATAGGTCGTTATCCTTAAATGGATAAAAATTATGAGATAAAGAAAGAAATTATGCAAAAATAGATTCAAATGAATTCATAATTTTAGTTTTACAAGGCAATCATTGTTGTCTAGGGCTTTCTTACTATGTGATTAACCTCACTTGAATATACAAATTAAATATTATACATGAATTCGATTTTCGAATAATCACACAACATGCACGTGATTTTTATTCAAATCTTTCTTTTTAGCACACATATCTTAATAGTTTTCCATTTTTCAATGTTTTATCAAGATTGTAGTTAAGGTATGTCAATAAATTTTTATGATTTAATTTAGTTTTCATTATTATTGTTTATTTAATTCTTTTTTTTTTCTTGTCCCACATTATAAAACATGGTCATCAGATTACACTTAGTCAGGGCATGTTAATAATTTTAATGATTTAATTTCATATTCTTTTATTTTAATTAAATTTCTTTTGACACATTATAATTATTCTCATTTTTTAGAGTTTTAATCAAGATTGCAGATTATTAAAAGTAAGTCAATACATTTTTATGATTTAATTTCATAAACTAGTCTTAGCCATTGAATTTTACTGCCACCAAACGTTAATAATGTATATGGCATAACATGGACAAAATCTAATTAATTAATTAATTAACTTGCATCTCTTACTCTTTTCAAATTTCAAGCCTGTTGAATATTATATTCATGAACGCATGAATATTGCATTCATTTTTTTTGAGGTTTTGCTGTTTTGTTGTGATTTGTGTTTTTTATTTTATTATTTATTTTTATTTATTTTGATGTGATATGTATGTTTTTTCTTAATTTTTTATTTTTATTTATTTTATATAAATATATAAAAGTCAAAACTTTTGACAAAAAAAAATCTGATAGTCATTATGTCAAGATTTTGTTCTTTTTGATTAATTTCATCTCTTTTTAGCTCAATAACATTGTTTATCATATATTTTGAATTTTGTCAAGTTTTTAAAAGCTTTAATTTATTTATGACTTGATATCTTTAATATATATATTATATACATTGATAATAATAGTAATTTATTAATATTAATTTATGTATCTACATGCATATTTAAATAGATAAATCTAGTCCATATAAATTAATATCAAAATTGTAAAACATAATTGATTTTATTCTTTGTATGAGACCCAAATTAAAGTCAGGAGGTAAAGTTTGTAAACACAAATAATATCTAATTATTTTAAGATATTTAACACTTTTAAAAAAAGTTAAAAGTTAAATTGATTTTGAAAATTGAATTATCAAATATATTGGAAAACTTTAATCATTGAAAATTAAATTAAAGACACCCTAAGTGCTCATCTTGCTAGTATAATAAGGAACTAAAACAAAATAAATTTTGTTTACTTATTGTAATAATTATTTACACAATATGCTTTTGCATGTTAAATCATCTATGTGCAATATTACAACACATGCCTAGAAAAATTTATTCTAAAAACAAAATTTGTATATCAACATGATTAGTGAAAGATGAAAAGGAATAGCATAAATCAAACAGAAAAGAGAAAACAAATCATAATAAGAATGAAATAAAAGAAAACAATTTCTCCAATTTAGCATAAAAAGAAACAAAATACCAGAAGTAAAATTATCAACCTGTCTAGATGATGCTTCTGTAACACCCTTGAGTAGACTAAAATGCAGGGAAGAAAATACCTAAAATATAACAAGAAGCAAAATATATAATAAGTTTTAGGATATTGTCAAGTTTGTTAATTTTGCATTTTTTTTCTTTTCTTTATTTAATGAAGAAAGGGAATTGAGATCAATTAATTAAACTATCAATAATTAAACCCTAAAAGCTTAAAGTTAAAATGAAAATCTTAAACCAATAATTGAAAAAAAGCCAATATCAGTAGTGAAAGAGGAAAAGGTGTAGCGTTAATGAAACAGAAAGGAAAAAACAAAATCATGAAAAGCATGAAAAAGAAATAGAGTACCGTAAATTAAATTACCTTATAACTACCTTTAATTGAGCCCCTAGATAGGCTGTTGCTTCTGCAAGAGCTTGAATGGAAATGAACTAAATTGATGAGTCTATTGCTGTGGTTATGGTGTCACTTTCATGATGGGTTCCACAGGTTTGATTACAAATAGCTGTCAACGTTGATTTTTTTTTTTTGGCTTAATAATTTGTTTCACACGACAGCAGGTGGAATTAATCACTACCAATGACAAATAGAACAACAAATTTTCATAGACTTTTTGCTGTAAACAACAAAATACTAATCTGTCATTTGACGTCAGTTAACCAATCATCAATTCCCTCGTCATTTGAAACAAATTTCTTCTTACGTGTTGAAAATATTGTCACAGATCTTTTTCTTTAATAGCTGAACTGAAGTTGTTGAAATACCTTCTCTTCTATCACATTCACACTCTTGACATGTCTTTTTAATTCATGGAGTGCATTCCTCCACTCGTGAAGGTTTCGTGCACCCTTCATACTGCTTGCTATTGTAACAATAGCTAAGGGCAAACCGGCACATTCTTCAGCAACAGATTTCACAAAGGGTAATAGATCTAGATGATTAAAAACATCTTGACCTATTTTTGCCAAGAACAACCTCCATGCATCTGGTTTTGAAAGAGTCGGCACTCTAACTTCTCGACAATCCAAATAGTGACACACATCTAACAACCGAGTTGTTACCAATAATTTGCTCCCATTAGAAGGCTCGGGGATGCCTACTTCTTCAGGAGAAAGTTTATCCCACAAATCATCTAAGATTAACACATGCTTGCCTTTACAAGCCAACATTTCGTATATCATCCCTGCTCTTATTGTTCATCTTCATCTTCATCAAGGGTTACTTTCATTGCACGTGCAATCTTGTTTTGCAGTTTAATGATGTTCATCTCCTTTGATACAGTGATCCATATCACAATGTCAAACTTTTCAGTCTCTTTCAATAGCTGGTTGTGTACGAGCTTCTTGATGGTTGTTTTCCCTATTCCTCCCATCCCCCAAACTCTAATCTTTTGAATGTCATCATCCATCAAGTAGGCCCAAATTTCTTCCATACAAGTCTTGGCAGCTACACCAAATAAAGTTGTCGTTGATAGAGCTTATCCAATCCACGCAGGGTTGTCAACTACCAAACCATCGTGAAACTGACCCCGTTGAAAAAGTTCATCAACTTCTTGTATCTTCTTCAGACAGACATTCTCCTTTGAGGAATACACGTGAGGCAAAGCTACTTTCTCCAATTTTTTTTTCAAGGTCTTGGATTTCATTGTTTATTCTTTCCACATTCCCGAGTCATAACTCAACTTCTTTCTTTAGTTTCTTTCTCGGATGCAGCTCTGCAGTGGTTCTTAACTTCGTCTCTCCTTTTAGAGCATTTAGTTCCGCCTGTTTTCTCTCTTTAGGTCTTTCATTTTCTCATCAAGGTTTGTTGGAGTGTCCCACGATTCATCAAATTTAGTAAGGAAAAAATCCATGGCTGTAAGTCACACAAGAACAAATATTTATATCATAACCATTTTGATCAACTTTATGGCCATAACCATGCAAATATATGGATGCAGTAAATTTTTAAGGAGCATTTTTTATTAGAAAATTTTGGTTATTAATGATATGAATCAAATATTATATATTGCTTTAACCCTCCGGATATGGTGTCTTTCACAAGCTTTGCAGTCTCTACATTGTTGTGGATAAATGCTACTATCTTAAATTATAACAATTAAAACACAGCTCTCAAGAACTAAAGGTTAGTTACTTGTAAGGCTTGGGATTGTCAAATGTTGTATAATTTGCTTTATTCTTTGCCTTATTCACTTGAATAAGTTACTCAAACTTTTTCCGTTAAAATTGATATGTGGTATTTTAATTTTTTTAATGTGACATTTTTTGCTTACGTGATCATTAACTCGTTGACGTGTAAAATCCACATGGTCAAAGATGATGATGAGGCAAATTTTTTTACATGTCATCATTTTTTCCAAGCTAACTTTTTTAAAATTGTACAACTTGTCCCTATACTTTCATTAAATTCTGTAATTTGTCATTCTGCTTTAATGTGTACTTTAATTTAATACCTATACATAAATTAATTATCGAATTTAAGATATGACCTAAAATAACATATAAAAATATAAATTATTAATTTGATCGTGATCTTTTTATATTTAGATATTTAAATTATTAATTGGACTTAATTTGATAAATTGGGTTAATTTCATATTAGATTATAAGCCTAACATAAATTGAATTATATCTTTTCTTTAATCTTTTATTTATTTATTTATTTTGATTTTGATTTTATTTTTTGATTTTTTTTAATTTCTATTTTCAATATTTTTGAAATAAAAAAACTTTAAAAATGATAGAAAAATAAAAGTTAGATTAAGAAACCCATTATCAACAAACCCAACAAACTCATATACACAATCAACAATAATAGTAATTGTAAACATTTCATTTTGTTCAAAAATTTTGTAGATATTAAATGGACTTCGACTTTCATCTTGACATTGGATTTTAAAATCATTTTTGGATCAATTGGGTTTTAATTGTAAAATTAGATTTTAAGCCCAAATTTAAAGGCCCAAAAGTATTTTATTTATTATTTATTTATTTATTTTTATTGTTTAGTTGGTGAAAGTCAAGAAGTTAAAGTAAGAAAAAAGCAAAAAATATAAAATCAAAATTGAAAAAATATGAAAAATATAAAATTTTTTGCAAAGATTTATTTGGGAAAATTTTGAGAATTTAACAACAATCAACAAGATAATACAATAAAACAAAGACAACCAACAAAAACAATTAGAAATAATTTTTATTGAGAAATTCTTTTTTAGAGGTTTTAGATTTAGAATTTTTATGGCATTATACTCAATTTTGCTTTGGATATACAAAACAGTGGTGTAGATAATCAATCTCTAGGTATTGGTGCTTTTTATGATAAATTTTTTCTATGATCTTTCAAATTTTCAATCATTGACATATCTAGAAATCCCATTGAAATATGAGTTCATTGAATGAGACTTGTATAGAGAAGTTAAAGGAAAACGAGGATGAGCAAGGAGAAAAAACAAATATTAAAAAATGATTTTTTTGTTTTTATAACAAATTGAAATGAAGCCATTTTAAAAGACAGGTCTGGTGCAACTCATATGTTGGCCCATGCATTGACTTTATTATTACTCGATTTATTTGCATTGAAAAGTTTTTTGTGTTTTATTTTAATTTTATTTTACTTATTTTATGTTAAATCTTAAATTCTATAACTAAGTGATGTATAAAGATCAAATTTAAACACATATTAAGGTAAATGGACTAATTCCACAATTTAACTAAAGTACAAGATGAATAGTACAATTTGAAAAAAGTTGATGTAAAAAATATTGACGTGCTAAAATTTTTTACCACATCATCATTTTTACCATGTGAACTTGACATGTTAGCAAAGTCAACGATCACGAAAGTAAAAATATCAAGTCAAAAAAGTTAAAACCCTACGTTATAAATTTTATTAAAAAAAGTTTGAATCATTAATAATTTTATTAAATTTAATAATTTATTAAAATATAAGGATTCAATTTGAGCACATTAAAATAAATAGATTAATTCCATCATTTGACTAAAGTATAAAAATCTGTTGTACAATTTGACTATCATTATTCTTAAATGAAGAAAAATTATGCAATAAATAAAGAAATCATGTAAAAGTAGATTCAAATGAATTCATAATTTTAGTTTTATGAGGCAATCATTGTTGGTTTGGCTAGTCTCTAAGCTTGTTGTTTTATTGGGTTGGCAGTTCTGTCGAAATACTATCTCACAAACAAAGTTTAAGATTTTTGCAAGTGATTAAAAATGAAGTACAGATTGGTTTTAAGAAAGAGGCTTAAAGACCAGGTGACTTGTGGTAATTTATCATCAATTGACTTTTGGTGAAGGCATGACTATTTGTTTGTTCAAGAATTTGTACAATCCTGTGGGGTTTTTAATTTCTTTATGTTGGTTTTGAGGTGATTTTGTAAGTTAGTCATGATGTTTAGAGTTTCTGTACACTGGTAACAAAACTATTTTCTAGCTTTTCGTTAATGATAGCTTTGGCACTAGATCTATCCCTTTTTGGGTTTTGAATAAAATTTAATTTTGACTGAAAAAAAAAAAGTTGATCATTGCTGTCTAGGGCTTTCTTAATATGTGATTAACCTCAGTTGAAAATACAAGTTAAATACTATATATGAATTCGATTTCGAATAATCACACAACATGCACGTGATTTTTTTTTTAATTAAAATTTCTTTTGACACTATTAATCATTCTCAAATTTTTTTTTAATCAAGATTGTAGATTATTAAAGGTAATACATTTTTTATAATTTAATTTTATAAACTAATCTTAGCCATTGAATTTTACTGTCTCCAAATGTTAATAATGTATATTAGCATAACATGGGACAAAATCTAATTAATTAATTAATTTGCATATCTTACCACATTCAAGATTTTCAAAACCCTTTGAATATTATATTCATGAACGCATGAATACCGCATTAATTATTTTTGGGCTTTTGATGATTTGTTGTGATTTGATTTTTTATTTTATTATTTATTTTTATTTATTTTGATGTGATATGTAGAGTTTTATCCCAAACTAAAACAATTTTTAATTTTAATTCCCTAACCAAAGTACTTTTAAACTTTCTTCCAAAACAAAGGTATTTTAACATCAATTAATCTCCACATCATCAATTTATCCAAGTCAGCATCTTCTTTCTTCAGTTCTCTCCTTTCTCTCTCTTCCATGCAATATCTTTTGCATTTTTTCTGCAAATGCTCTAATTTAATGTCCAATCAAATAATTATTTATAGGAAATAAGACATTTCTTTTTTACTACAAAACAATTATACAACGTGAAAGTTTACAATAATCAATGCAATCAACATGCAGGGAAAAAAAAGAGTTAAACCTGTAACTCACATTCTTAAGTCTCTCCAACAGAATTCAAGGTGATGCAGAAAAATCATCCTTAACTAACATAAGGACCATCGAGCATAAGAGAAAAAGAATCCATTTAGGAGGAATATCCCTTTCTTTGCTTGGTGTGTTTGTTACCCAATTGGCCATATATCAAAATGGGCTTTCATGCTTACACAGTTTAATTGCAAACCTTCAAATTAACTTCTCCAAACTTTGATATCTCTTTTAATAGGGCTCCACTTTCCATAAAGAGGACTTTCTTTCATCTTTTAGGTATTTGTAAAGAATTTTAGAGCCAGACTATTGTTTTAAGATTCATAGATAGCAAATATTCTTAAATTTTGTTATAAAATTATATGCCTCAAGCACTCAAGTTTGAAAGTTTTCTCAATTTACCTAACCCATAAAATCCTCTTGCTTATCAAAATATCAAAAAACGAAAAAAAAAAAAAAAGATTTTGGTTTCTATGGCTGCTTTAGCAACTACATCTCGATTGCATTTGTCGTTTGGGGAGAGATCTCAAATCCATGAGAATAAGTATATAAGTCCAGAAGTTTATAAAGGAGTATCATCTATTTGTCGATTTCAAAATTATTTGACAAAAAAAAAAAAAAAAAACGTTAGTTGAAAAAGGAAAGAGAAATGAGAGGACTAAAAGAATGAAGATGCTGACATGAACTCTAATTGAGTCAAAATACCTTTAGTTTGAAATAAAGATAAAAACTATCTTAATTAAAGAATTAAGATTAAAAAAATTTTAATTTGAGAAAAATGTATTTTTCTTTTTCTTTTATTTTTTTTTAATTATCTTATATAAATATATAAAAACAAAAATTTTTGACAAAAAGGAAAAAAAATCTAATAGTATTTATGTTCTTTTTTTTATTAATTTAATCTCTTTTTATCTCAATAACATTGTTTATGATATATTTTCAATTTTGTCAATTTTTTAAAAGCTTTAATTTTTATATGACATGATATCTTTAATATATATATATATATATACAATGATAATAATAGTAATTTATTAATATTAATTTATATATCTACATGCATATTTAAATAGATAAATCTAGTCCATATAAATTAATATCAAATTGTAAAATATAATTGATTTTATTCTTTGTATGAAACCCAAATTAAAGTCAGGAGGTAAAGTTTGTAAACACAAATAATATCTAATTATGTTAAGATATTTAACACTTTTTCTAAAAAAAGTAAAAGTTAAATTGATTTTGAAAATTGAATTATCATATATATTGAAAAACTTTAATCATTGAAAATTAAATTAAAAAA